AACCATCTTGAGGTCCATTAGCATTCATTATCTAGTGTGTACAAGCTAAATGTTGACCACATATGTCATGCAAAGTGCGTCTGTCTCAAAACTGGCAGAGGAGGTTCGCCTGGGCATGTACCTGAGAGGGGAACCAGCCCGTACACCCCCCCTCCTCCCCAAACAGAGGGGTGTGCATCAATCTGCTGCTGGAGGAAGTGTATGTGTGTGTGTGTGAGAGAGAGAGGGGGGGTCTTGAGACAAGCTGCCATTTCCAGCCGATTAAACACCCACCGACCCCGCAGCTAAGCTGAGCCGCCCCTGTCTCATGCCCTGCAGCTCAGGGGGCGTGCTCAAAAGACAATGATCTGAGGGTCAGGGGTCAAGACAGCGGGGGTGTCTGGAGTCATTTGGGATGCTAATGTTATGCAGGCTTTTCAGACCAGAGAGGCTGTAAAAGCTTGAACAATTATGCTGCTGTTGTGACTGCAGGTTTCTCACTTTTTATATATATACGTATGTATATGTATCGGCCAAGGGCTGGTTAAGACTAAGTGAGTGAGTTAGCAGGCAGGCAGTGGCAGTATAAAACAATAAAAGGTAGTTTGAGAACCACGAGAGGTCCTTCAGCATGCAGCCATAACAGGCCCCCCCCCCCCAAAAATACCGTACAGTTTGTAGCAGCAGTATGCCAGATTAGCTGTGGACAGACACAGAGATGGACACACACACACACACACACACACGCATGAACACTTTCCATTGCACACTCACTCATGCACACACGTGACCGATCTCATTGTTTCCTGATAATAATAACTAGTACCAGAACAATGATGGAAATGTTGCTTTCCATATATGTATATATATTAAATATATATATATTTACATATATATAATTATTATTTTAACTGACAGTGAGGAAGATCTTGCGTAGATAATAATGAGAATATATATGAAACTAAATTGTAATCATTTCCTCTAAAAATAAATCTGGTATGAACTAAAATCAAACACTATTATTAAGCTTGTTTACAAGATATTTAGTCAATGCTCTAAAGTGGAGTTAGGAAGTCTACAGTAAATCCCATCAAAAGGATTTCTATCAAAACTTCAAGTGCAGAGATTCATTTTGCATTTCAAAGAAACTCCACTAGTGTAGCCATCACAGTTACCTTAGAGGGAAACTAATTAACACACAAACCTTTTTGGTCTTTGCCTTAATGTGGAAGCAGATCTGCATTTTCAATCGATCTACTGTCAACATGACGACATTCAGAGAAAACAAGCAAACTAAAAAAGCACAAGATTTACCAAGTATCAGAAATCACACGACAACAATGAAAAACGATCTTATTTTGAAGGGCAGATTGAGGGGTTATTGTAACCAAAGACAAAAAAATATGAGAAGCGTTCTCATTAAAAGTGTGCATTTTTCTACCCAATAAATAATGCAAGACAGTCTGCTAGATAACAATCCCACAGAGCCAGAACATCTGTGCAGCTGCAACAAATAATGTGTGCACTGGACCGGATTCAAATTCTATGTACAGTATTTATACACTTCTTAAAATACAAAATATTTATGTTCACCCTTATGATGTAGTCCGTGTCTGACTTGTACTTATTGCTGACCAGCGGTGGAACGTTACTAAGTGTATTTACTCTCCAGTACTCTAGTTACAGTTTTTTTTTTTGTGATTGCTTCCACACCCGTGGCTCATTGTGTCAAAGCTCTACATAGTAGATTAAAAAGACACTAAACATCTCACCTCTATGTCGAAATGAAATTCTGCGATGAAAACCTAACAAATTACTCTTTTGAAGCAGCAACAACACACAGTTGTACTTTGTGCCAAACACTGCTGTCTTAAGTTCTTTCAATGCCAATGAATTTTCTCTTACAGGCTTCTGTGAAGGATTGTTCCAGTACAGTACATCTGCTCACTATTCAATGAGCACAAAAATATAAATAATATAAATATAAAGATTTTTTTTTTTACAACAAAACAACACCAAGAAAAGTAGAATTACAGGACAGTACTCAATACAATATGTTACTGTAAATGCAAGGAATCTAAAATAATTGCAGTAAAATATAAATATATATATATACATATATATCCTTGAGAAAGCAGTCGCAAATCAGTTGTGTGACTTTCTACATAACAATAGTTTATTTGAGGATTTTCAGTCAGGATTTAGAAAGCATCATAGCACAGAGACAGCTCTGGTGAAAATAACGAATGACCTTCTAATTGCATCAGACAAAGGACTTGTCTCTGTTCTTGTCTTGTTAGACCTTAGTGCTGCGTTCGACACCATCGACCATTACATCCTGTTGCAGAGACGAGAACATTTGATTGTCATTAAAGGAACCGCACTAAGCTGGTTCAAGTCCGATTTATCAGATCGATCTCAGTTTGTATACGTAAACGATGAAACTGTCATGGAGTTCCACAAGGTTCTGTGCTTGGACCAATCTTATTCACCTTATACTGTATATGCTTCATTTAGCCTAAAGGAAGCATATATAAGGTGAATAAGATAGTATATTATACTATATTTATACTATTATAAAGGATGATGGATGGTTTTGGATCCACTATATGTTGATGTCTGGGCGACATCACCTCATCCACATCACAAGCAATGTCATCCTTGGTGTCATCCCTTTCTTTGTTCTTGTCCTCCTCCTCCTCCTCTCTCCCTTCCTCTTCCTCTCACACTCACTGCCTCCATGTTTGCAGAGTTCTCACAAAAAAGGTGAGCTTATCTTATCAGATCTTATTGTAGTGCTAAAGCTCTGAAATGATTTTGTGTGTTTGTGTTCGCTGCTAATTTCAGGTATGTTTTGCATTTTGGACAATACAGTTTTTTCCCAAAGATTGCAAGAGATTTCATTCTTGAACGTGTGTGACAATTTTGAGGTACTTGTATGTCACTCCACTACATTTCTTCCTAAACGTTAGTTACTTTGCAGATTTCTTTTATTAAAACACGATATAGACCAACAAAATGATGTTGTATCGTTACAGGTTCAGCTCCCCAGGAGTATATTATTCGGTAATGGAAATCAGCTCAACATTTATCAGTTGAAACATTAAAGTGATGAACAAATGTATCATCAATAATTATAGTACAGTAATATAATGTACAGGATTCTGAAATAAGACATGGTACATTATAAGTCATTTTACTTGTGGTATTTTAATGCTGATACTTAAGATTATAATGCAGAACTTTTTACTTGTATTTACTTAAATAAGATATCCTGCTAATAATGACCTCATTAATGAAACACAAAACACACTAGTCATAAGAGGCGAATCAGCACGCTTCATTGTCACCAATTCAGTTGCAGTCCACATAAAAAGTAGAGCATTTGTACTCTAATCACAGTTAGTCAAGAGTAAATACTAAGTCTCTGTTTGCACAAGACTCGGGTCCACAAGTGTAGTTACACATCACTTGCTTTTTAAAAAAAGGATTAAAATGCATTGAAATGTTACCTAACTAACTTCAAGTTTTTCTATTAGTCTGTTATTTTATGAAAATGGTAATAATCCATAAGAAAGTATAAATAATCCACTGGACTGCAATTGCACACTATAGGACATTTTGCAAACCTACACTGGGACTCTCGTGATGCCACATGTGGGTTGTTGACATGGTGGCGGATTATCAGAGGTTTATCTTTCTTTGCATGAACTGCATGCAAAACTATATCACAACTGTCAGAAGTGATTATAGTAAGTAGTGGCTTTAACACTTGCAATGGCTGAGTTGTAATAAACAGTAACGCCTCACACTAAAGGCTGACTCAGCTCCCCTCCACCCAGGATCACATTGTGTTAGTTCACAGCTGCTGCTGCAGATGCAGATGTGTCGAACTGCAAAGGAAATGAGGGGGAAGCCAGCTGGGGGGAGGATTGTGTGTGTGTGTGTGTGTGTGTGTGGGTGGGGGTATGTTGTTGATTCCCGTGTGGTGTCACATGATGAGGAAATGTCTTGTGTCCTGAGATGAGAGATAAAAAGTTAGAGAGGGAGGAGGGGGAGGGGAAATACAGGATGTGAGGAGCATTAACTGCAAAATTGTATTTAATTGACAATAAAGTTTGCTGGACTGAGTTGACAGACAGAGACAGACATGGAAATACACATGTAACTAGAAAGAGAGAGAGAGAGAGAGAGAGAGAGAGAGAGAGAGAGAGAGGATGAGGTGGAGAAAGTGAGACAGCAGCCTCCTGTCAGAGATCATGTCAGCACTTGTTGAGGAGGAGGAGGAGGAGGAGGAGGAGGATGTCATCTCAACCAGACGACTCTGTTGATTCGGCCATCAAAATAAAAGCATGACGGAAGACGGAAAATTCAAATTAAACTGGTATTAAAAAACACAGAGCACATTGGTGCAAAATTATAAATGATAGACAGATCACCTTACATGCACATAGAGTAAGACCAAATGTATAGTTTCTGATCGTTATGTCTGGCTTTGGACTTTTTATTTACATGATGCCGATGTAATTTCTATGTTTTCCTTTTAATTTGCCCATATTTCACACTGATTCACACAAAATTGCTATTGTTTTCACTGTCTCAACAAATTGATTAACTTAACAGTAAGAGAGAATGATAAAAATAAAAACCATGTACTGCAAAAATGAGGAAACATAAATAAAATGGAAACAAATATGTACAATATATCTGTTTTTCAAATGAAAAAGTTTGTGCGGAATGTGCCAACTATTGACCAAGGAGTGTGCCAAAGTTCCTTTGCATGATGAATTAAATCAAGACTAAGTAATTTATTCAAAAGGGGTGTTTAAATCTCGGCTAATCTTCAACACAAAAACATTTAAACAACAACAACAAACATAGCAAGAAACAATAATTATCCTGCTGGGTTCAAAAAAGGATCGCTTGGGGTTTTACTCTGAAAATTCACACCGGACGTGAGCTCATCTTCATCTGTGTTTACAAAGAGTCTCAAAGCAGGAGAAAATCACTCCTCACCGAACAGCTCGAACAGAGACGAGCACCGTGAACGAGGTGCTCCGTTTTTCGGTACATATTGTCGCTATTTATTTGTTTTGATGGGTTAATATAACAGAAAACCAGGACAAATATTATCCAAAACCTTCATAAACCGGGAAACTCGACATGGAATGACACATTTTCACCGGAGGGGACTTTTAACATCGTCTTGTGATCCTTCGCCGGTTGTTTTGGCACATTGGTATCCTTTCTGATGTGCACCTGTTCCGGCCAGTTTCTGACCCGCAGACAGCCTCAACACGGAGCGTCAGATCGACCAAGTAAGAAAAACTTAATTGTAAATTAATTTACGCTATTTTACAGCTGCATAAGTTGGTTTAGAATGTGATAGCTTTAAGTTGCATCATCTGTCCGACTGTCAGGGGAAAAGATCGACCTCTTCGACTGGACCACTTTTCTTTTTTCTATTGGTCAGTGATGTTCTCCGCACTTTCGTGTAGTTTATTTTCAGACTAGTCCCGACTTGTTAGATACAGTAATGTAGCAACATTTGCGGGAAAACGTAAGATAAAGTTTAGGCTTGGCGATACCTGTTATTACTGTTATTATGCTAATATGTTTCGCAGTATGTGCGAAACGGTGGTGGATTGTCAAAAAAAACCAAAAAAAAACTTATTTACTAATAATAATAATAATTAAACATTAATGATTTTACTGATTAAACTTCAAGTAGGTCCTTCGTTTGACTAATGGTTATTTTATATTTATACTACTTTTCTCATTTATATTCGGACGTTATTTCGTCAGTCTGACCCAAAATAACCGTGTTATTTTTTTTGGGGGGGGGGCGACATTTATATTTACACAATTATCTGCTATGAACAATGATATTTATCCTTGATATCATCACTTACTGCCGTTAGAACGGACGAGAAAGACCCGCGTGGCTCGCCTCTCAGTGTTTGTGTGCGCGTGTGCGCTTCCTCGTGCTCGGACTGCACGGATCTGTTTACAAACAAGTCTCGTGCTCTCCTGAACGGGGAGCCGCAGCTGCCCCCTAGCGGCCGTTAGAGGAAAATCTAGGTCGGTGGGTCAAACTGGAAGTGGAGAAAGAAAAAAAAATGGTGCTAAAATTAGAACCATGGATACATTTTTATTTATAAATATTTATTGGACGCATGTTTTCTCTCACGGTGTCAAGTTAACCTAAAATTTGATTTCTGGTGTTTACATTTTTTACGAATTTATTATTTATTATTAATGTATTATTATCATTAATGTATTATTATCATTTCATTTTTAATGAATATACTTTTTCAAAAATAGTTGTTCAGGTTTTTTTGTTTTAAGTATTTATTTGTGGTTATTTTTCTGGGCATTTTAAAATTATTTTTTATTTCATATATTTTTCAGATTAACATGTGTTTCAAACTTGTTTTGAGGCAGCAGAACTCGCTTACCTCAGGGTGTGTAACTTGTTTCTAAATGTAATACTTTAAGGAGTTTAGCATATTTGCTAACGTTTGAAGAATTTTTTATTTTTTTTTTAAATTAAAAAGAATGATACAAGAATGATTCTTGCAGTTTAAAAGCAGCTAAGTGTCATTTATTTACATAAGTGGCATGTCTGTGTGTGTGTGTGTGTGTGTGTTTTAGTCTACTACTGAGATGGCCCGCGCAGAGACCATCGAGAACGTTGGGGAGACTGGAGGAAGAGGAGGAAATGACCCTCTTCCTCGCCACCACATCTGCAGCATGGAGCTGCCCCGCCCCTTCTACAACTGTCCCGGCCTGCTCACCACTACAGCCTTCAGCTCTGGGACCGCCACACACCGCCACCGCCACAACAACTACCACCTGCCCCCTCTGCAGGCTCTCTATCTGTCGTACCCGCTGCCTTACCCCCACCCGGAGGACCAGGACGAGGCCCGGACTCACCAGCGGTCACCTGCGTTGTCGCCCACGCCTCCACGTTCGCCACTCTGCAATCGGAGGGAAGGGAGGGGCAGAGCCGGGGTAGCACCCAGTGCCTTTACAGGAGAGCAGTCAGGTAAGATAAAAGCATTCACTTATAATTAAATAAAATGACAAACAGTGGCTGTGGCTCAGTGGTAGAGCAGGGTTGTCCTTCAATCAGAGGATTGGCGGTTTGATCCCCGGCTCTGCCAATGTAACGGCAAGCACATCAGTAACAGAGCCAGTGGTGATTTAGCGTTAGCGCTGCAGGAAAAACAAGCTGCAGATGATCAGCAGCGGAGGACCGTTTCTGACAAAAACGTGACCCGACCCCACACGGCGCAGTTTGCCTTTCAGAGAGGGAGAGTGTCGGTTATGCGTGCGTACTGTGCTTCCATGACAGGAGAGTGTTTGGGTAGTGTTGATAGGTGGGACAGGTGGAGGGATGTGTTACTGTCACAGGGATAAACATGCGAGTCTCTCTGGGCCTCCCGTTACCACTGTGCTGTCATAAAACTAGTAAAAACTGCCCAAACCGGTTTGTTCACCAGACAATGTCCAATGTCTGGCTGGCTTGAGGTTACAAGGTGTGAGGAGGAGGAGGGGTAGATAATAACAGAAACTAATACAGTAATAAATAATTTTGACTCAAATGAGGGAATAATGGAAAGGAAAAATGTATACTGTGCTCTTTAGTATTGTTTAGGTATTTGGGGAATTAAAGCTGAAAAATGTCTTCAATTGTTAATCCATGCCCCCCCCCCCCACAGCAGTTTGTTTCTCCCCATTAAAACAGTTCTTCCACCATCGCAGTCAGCGAGTGGTTCCCTCGGGCTGCAGAAGTGTATTATTTCTCAGTGTTTGAGTTGGGCAAAGAGTGAGGCACCTTTGTTATTAACACCGGATGACTCACTGGAGAGTCAGTCTGAACTTCTGTGTTCCTGGAGGGGAATTTCGGAGGCCCGTAGAAAGGGAAATTAGGGTGGCGGCACAGGAAAGGCAGGTTTGCGTTTGGCACCGAACTGCAGTGTTGTGACAGATTTGTAACAATGTAAAGGGATAAGTTACCCCCCACCTCTCCTCCCCTCTCAGCTGCAGGTCATCTGTGCATCTCGGGCATGTTCAGACTTGTCCTCAGCAGCACAGCCTCTGGCTGCAGCACAGAGACAAAGCTGCTGCATTTCCTGCTGCTCTGGGCGCTCAGCCAGGCAGCACAAAGTCAAGTCAGTTGTACTTAAATGTGGACGCTCACTTTGAAGCCATTTATCTCATCAGCTAGTTATGTTTGTCGGTTGGTTTTGTTTGTCGGACTTACAGTTTGTTAATCAGGCTTACCAGTCAGTCTACTAATCACACAGTCAAGCAGTCAGTGGGCTTGTTATCTAGTCAGTGAGTGAGTCAATTGTTCTGTACTAGCAACCTAGTTAAATAATGAACTCATTAATCAGTCAGATGACAGCCAGTCAGTGTAATTAGCCAGCTAGTTATTTTATTAGTCAGTTGTCGGGCGATGAATATTAACATAATGATGATAAACTTTACTTATATAGCAGATTTCATGACATAAAATGCAGCTCAAGTTGCTTTACAAGAGATGCAAATCAATACTGCAGGTATTTAAAAAAGAAAGAACACAAAGAGCGAAAAACAATTAAATAATAAAGTCCCAAGAAAAACGATAACAATGATTTTAATAACAATGATTTTAAGATCTAAAGACCATAAAACAAGAATGAGAAATGAATATCAAATAACAAGGATGTTAGACAAAGGTGGAATTGATTAAAAGAAAACTAATTTTTCTTTTTCTTAAAGCTCTCAACAGAAGTTGCCTGTCTTGTTTGTGAAGGGGGTTTTAGTCATTGCTGACCCGTTCAGCGAGCCAGGAGGGAGAGCTCCCTCAGATAACCAATCAGAGAGGTCTGAAGGTGCTGAACCGGTCAGGGCGCTGAAGATAAGAACGAGTTCTGAGATCAGTCCTCACTGTTACAGGTCAACACTTTATTGATGACCGTTCTGGTGTAACATGTTCTCATTTGTTAGAATTCTTGCTGCTGCATTGTGAACAAGTTGCAACATATCAGTGTTTTAGGTTTTTTTGAGGCGGGAAAATAAATAGGTGTGGCTCGACTTTTTTGCGTCTTCCAAAAATAATGAAATGTTGATAATCAGAATCACTTATCCCAGATCATCTGTAATAAGACAGTCACTAAATTAGTGAGTTATTGGTTGTGTTGTTTTTGTTGTTGGTTAATTTGTCAACTACTTGTCTAGTTAATCAGTCGGTTAATTAGTCCGTTTGTTAGTTAAGTAACAACAGAAGTCATGTTGGTTATCCAGCTCACTGTTAATCTTTTATCAGGTTAAGTCTGTTTTGATTTTTAACGGTAACCAGGTCACCCCCCCCCCCCCCCCCCCCCCCCCCCCCCTTTAACTGGTCACCTTGTCAGTCTGTCAGCCAATCAAACAGACAGGTTCACCCCTCCCAGCCCCGCCCCCTCTCCTCCCGACACCCTATCACAGCTCAGCCCTCTTGCTCTACCGGCCAATTGCACGGAGACGTCTCTGCCAGCGCTGCCTCAGAGTTACCTTGGCAACAAGCCAGGGTTTCCCGTTTGTTTGTTTGTTTTCTAGCGCTCTCTCTTTCTCTCTCTCTCTGTCTCTCTCTCTCTCTCTCTCTCCTTCTCTCTCCATCTCTGTCTAGTCACCTGCATCTTTAGAGGATCAGCCCTAATCCTCCTAGCAAAGCACATGCTGTGGTTGCCAAGGGTGCCCGTTTCTGTGGCAACTAGGGTTGTTGGCCGCCGCGGGCACGGAGACAGAAAAGATAAAAACACACGTGTTAGCACAGGTTATATGATTATCTGAAGGAGAACGGGTTAGTGAACCACACAGGGCCAAATACATGGGCAGTCAATGCAATATAATACACATGTAATACACATGTAATACACATGTAATACACATGTAATACACATATAATACAATACACATATAATACACATATAATACTATATAATACTACATAAAACAATAAAATACACATAAAACAATATAAAACCATATAATACACATATACTACAATATAATACAATATAATATACATATGCTACAATATAATACACATATAATGCAATATAATACACATATAAAACAATATAATACACATATATAATACACATATATAATATACATATAAAAGAAATGAATCCTTAGATCAATCCTGTCTTAAGTGAGTGGAAAATAATTAATTAACATTCTATCTGATTAAATTACAATTGTAAAGTACTTTAAAATGTGTCTTGTTTTACAAGTAAGAAGGAATTATGAAATTCATAAAGAGAATATAGAAGACGTGTTACGATAAATAAATCATGAGGATGACACTCTTCGACATAAAAAGGTTTAACTGATTAAAGAAGCAAAGTTAAGCAAGAAAAAAGCAAGTATGTTTACACAAATGGAAAAGAAACAAACAAGTTAATCCTTTTTCAGAAAATGTGTTCCAACAGCCCAGCTCTCATAACATGGTAATAATGTAGTAGCTTGAGGCCTGTTAGTCACGTTAACGTGGTCAGACAGAAGCTAACCGGTGTCTGTCCGCCTTTAAAGAAACATACAAACAAAAAGTCTGTAAACACAACAAACACACACACATTCAGTTCTTCTCTATACCAGACTTATTAAGCAGATTAAGAGATTACTCTCCCAAGTTCCATTAAGAGGAAAATAAGTGACCAGATCCGGCTTCTTAACAAATATGTGTGTGGCCGGAGAACTAAACAACCGGGAACCGCAGGAACTGTTTGCGCTATTTTTTTTTTTTTAATGTCAAAAGTCAAGAAAATTCATGTTATTTCTGCATCAAATACGATAAACCCTCTTAAATCTATTTTTTTCTCTCAATGCGATCAAAAACATGCATGTGCAATATATAATATTATAAATGTATAATACATGTGCACGCAATATTTTCACCTGTATGGTTATCTATCTCGGTTCAGCGATGATTTCTGGTGAGGTCTGTGCATGATGTTGTTGGACGTGCGAGGTCTCTCTGTTGCCTGTACAGCCTGCCCATGTGTCACTATGTGTGCACAGACCCCCCCCACACACACACACACACACTTGAACTGTCTACTATTAGTGTGTAAGGAGGCTATTAATGCATGCCGCTTGTTGAGAATCAATTAAGCATAACCAGAGGCTCCGCGTACCCAATAAAGTGCCTCTGTCTGCTCATACATGAAGAGACAGAAGCACAAGAGAGAGACAGAGAGTCAGAGGCATGATGCAAAACTGTCCAAGTAAAATGAGTGAGTAATGAATATTTTCTTTTTTGTGTGTCTTGTTCTCTGAACTCATTTTTGCCTCCTCTCGCTCCAGCATCGCACAGAGATGAGCGTCAGGACGCATCCAGCCGGCAGGGACCTCTACCGGACCTGCTGCCCCAGAACGAGCTCCCATCCTGGGCTTCCCCACGTCGCAGAGCCCCCGGAGAAGAGGCGGCGCAGGAGGTGGAAGTCAGGAGAGTGGCCGACCAGCTGAGGGCCATTGGAGATGAGTTTAACACCACGGTCCTCCACAGAGCGGTAAGAGGGCGGGGCCCCAGGCTTCCATGTGTCATTTATAGCGTGTTTAGTTTGTATTTAATGTCGATGAGTTAATATGTGACCCGTGAGAATGATTTTATGATGACAATTCCAGCAGATCAGCTGACCGTATTCATTTTTCAAATGAGCCTATGATTGGCTTTGTCGCACTTTAATGCGTTTTTTTCCCGCTGTTATATGAGGCTTAAATCATAACAATATCACTTTAGACACAACAATAACCGCTACGCCGTCTCTGCTCTGCTCATTTACAATTGAAACGTTCATCAGTGTAACAGAAGGTCACAATTGTGTGTGTGTGTGTGTGTGTGTGTGTGTGTGTGTGTGTGTGTGTGT